GCCCACCTGGTGGTCTATAAGATTGATGTCAGCAAAGGCTTCCTAGAGGGGTCTGCCCGCTGCCCCCACGCTGAGCCTGAGCCCTCACAGGACAAAAGTACCTTTGAAAACAACTGCTGGCTGAACATATCTTGTCTGGCTGAGTCAGGGTTCATTAAGGGCCAGTGCGGCCCCTCATCAGGCCAGGGCTGGGGGAAGTTAGGTTGTTCCCCTCTCAGAAAGACAAAGGCCAGGCCTCCGAAGCCGAAACCTAACCCAAGCCAGCCAGACCATTCCTGCCCCTCTGGACTAGGAGAGGGGCAAGCAGGCCTGAGGGGCAAGGTGGGGGCATCAGATCCTGTTTCTTCCCTCGGCTTCTGCCAAGGAGTCACTGAGGACCTGGCACCGAGCAGGGACCACCCTAAGGAGAACCACTTGCTTATTCACCCAACCCTCATTTCCTGTGTGTCTGTTATGTGCCAGGCCTTGTGTCAGGGGTCAAGGAGACAGAGATGGACAGGCAGCCCTGCCTAGGAGGGTTCTCCCCATATTTTACTAAATAGCTGGCCCAAAGAGGAAGGTACCAGTTGGAAAAACTGTCATCAACAGTGCTCAGATCTAGGGCCACTTCCCTCAGAAAGCTTAGACTCACATTGGGGGGGCCCAAGCAACCCCAGGGAGTGCCAAGGAGCACCACCACACCAGAAATGACCAGTGTCTTGGGACACACACACACACATGGTGGAAAGATGGGGGTGGGAGCGCCCACACAGAAGGGAGTTGCTCTGGGGAATGTTCTTTTTTTTTCTTTTAAGATTTATTCATTTATTTATACAAGCACTGGGTACAGTCAGAAGCACGGGAGGATGAGAGAATTCACCAGAGCCAGGGAGCAGAACAGGCAGACTGACGAAGTACACTGCTGAGGGGAACAGTGGGCAGCAGGAGAGGTCTGTCGCGCCATGTGGGACCCTCGCCAGCTGGCCGGGGATCAAACCGGCACTGCAGAGGCTGTGGGCAGCTTCGCAACCCAGCGCTCAACCATTGCGCCACCGGGGAGGCCCTGGGGAATGTTCTTGAAGGCCTAAGAAGCAGCCCAGCACAAGCTGTGAAAGACTGGCCAGAGGCAGAAAGTAAGAACAGCAGCAGCAGCAGTTCTACTTAATTGAGCATGTACTGCGTGCTCAGTACAGAACTGCTCGCCTGCGAGGTAGTTGCCATTATAATCCCTCTACAGATTCAGACGCGGAGCCTCAGGAAGCATCGCATAGCTAGGAATGGAGCAGGCCAAGATCCCAGCTCGCAAGTCCAACTCTTCACCCCTGTGTGATCCCATCTCCCTAATCTGTAGATAGGCTGAGGGTAGATTAGGGGCTTCGGTCAGGTGAAGCAAGGTTAGGAGGTGGGATCTCTGACTACCTGTTTGAGAGGAGTCACCCAGCTCCACTCTGTACTGAGACCCTCGGCAGTGGCATGCGTGTGTGTGTGTGTGTGTGTGTGTGTGTGTGTGTGTGTGTGTGTGTGTGATGTGCCCCTTTACCACCGACGGATCCATATTTAAAAAACCCTGAGAGCTAAGCAGAAGTAGCAGAGCAGAGAAAGGAAGTCCAGAAAGGCAAAGGAACTATTGAAAGTCACATAGCCTAAAAACAGAGAGGCCGGAACTAAGTGCCCCATGACCCAGATTATAGGCCTCTAGACTCCTGGCTCCTCTGCCCCCAGCTGCCTCCCTACATCAGCAGGGAATCAGCTGTGACCAGAAAACCACCCTGAAGGGGGGAACCCCGGGGTGAGTTAGGGACGAGCTACACCCCAGAGACACCAAATGGGCCTGTGTTTGGCTAATCCTGCAGCAGCAGCACTGGGCAGGTGAAAACGCCTAGAGAGAGTCAAGGGGGTAGGAGGTTCAGGGAATCATCAAGAAAACAAAACATCCAGGCTGATAGGGTGGGGGGAGGCAAAGGGAGGAGGGAAGTGCCACTGGCCCTGTTTACCTCTGGATTTCCCCTCCTGGCTGCTCAGACCCAGATCTAGAGGATGGAAGCTGGTAGGCAGGGCAGTCCCTACTGAGATTAAACCAGCCCCCCCCACCTCTGTCTGCCCCCCTTATCCGGTCCCACAGAGGACCCCAGGATCTTCCGCCCTTCCCACCTCTCACTGAGCCAAGTCCTGACTGTTTGATGCTCTTGGTTAAATCATAACCATCCCTCGGAGCTCCCTGTGGGGTAGAGGAAGTGGGCATAATGGTTTGGAGCAAGGGGTCAAGGTCAATCCCAGAACAGGGGTTGCCAGGTGGCCCAGGTGCTCCAGATCGAAAGAATGTTCAGGGCTTGGGGCTACTCAGCTGTGACCCAAGCCAGGAGGAAGCTGTCAGGCCCTTGGGGGAAAACTGGGGTTGGTTCCCCAGAGTTGGGTGGGGGTGGGGGTGGGGAGGAAGAACTTCGAGGCAGTGGCTCAAAGTCTGAGGTCTTGAGAGAGACAGAAACTTCCGAAGAGCCTGAGGCACCCGCTCACCTTGTGGGAAACAGGTCCCACTGGAAGCCTTAATGCCAGAGCCAGTCCATGGTAACCCTGCATGCCTGGCCTCCCTGGGTTGGTACCAGGTGGGGGAAGCTGCGGGCACTTCCCATCTACTCTGCTTCCAAAGCCATTACTGACTGGCTCCAGCTCCTGCTGTCTGGCCCAGACCCTCCTTCATGGGCAAGCACATGGCCCTCGTGGGCAGCTCGGCCAGTCCCACCCTGCAGCGCTCATCCTCACCCAGACAATCCAGCACCTCCAGATGCAGGCTGGGTGGGGAACAGAAAGTGTCATACACTGCTCACACTGGGGCACGCTCCTGACTCCCCACCTTCCTTCACTCCCAGCCTCAGACACCCCAAAGCCCCCAGGTCCTCCTTCCCCCTCACCACAGCCTCATCCCTTGACTGCTGGATGCTCTTCCCCAGCACATCTGGCATATGCCACTTTTCCTAAAGCGTCACTCTATGTCACCCCCCTGCTCAGAAACCTTCAGTGGCTCCTACTTTCTCTAAGTCAAATCCAATCACCTCCAGGCCCTCCAGAAGTTGATCCACCCTTCCCCCTGCACAACTCTTCAGCCCAACTGATCAGCCTGGATGTTTTGTTTTCTTGATGATTCCCTGAACCTCCTACCTCCTTGACTCTCTCTAGGCGTTTTCACCTGCCCAAAACATTGTCTTTGTTCTGCTTGCAGAAACTCTCCAGTTTCTAAGTTCTACCCAAATCTCCACCTCCTTCCTAAAGCCTTCCTGAAAAATCCCTCTAATCATTTCTTCATTTATCGCTGCTCAGTCACTGGTATCCTGTTCTTAATCCCTCACCAGACATGTAGTGACTAAGTGGAGCAGGGGGGAGTTTATGTCATCAGTTTGGTTTGTCATTCATCATGCGGGAGGGCAGCGGAGGGCTTTCCATCAGAGCTTACTAAGCACTGTTGGAATGAACCCCTCTCCTCCCGCTGTGGGTACCACCTACTGACCCTCTCCAACCCACCATGCCAAACATGCCAAAATCTAATCTTATGCCTCACCAATGCTTGGAGAGGGAAGTCTATAGCCCAAGTTGATCCCAGTCCAGCCTGGGCCTGAGAGCCAAGGCAGAAAGTCCCACCGGAGTCCTGATTCCAGGAAGCCTCCACCCCCCCAACCTGGTTTCTCCAGTGTCTCACTTCTGAGCAACTGAAACCCCCCCACACACATACACACAGTGCTGCCTTCCATCAGGCTCTGTCCCATTGTGTTTCCCAGCTGTTTTCAAAGCATAGGGCTCCTCTCCCTAGGAGTTGCAGGGAGTCAGCATGAAGCACTCCCACCCTCCTTCAGCCAACCTGCTCAAACAGGTAACAGGTGCCCACACTGCCACTCACCTCCGCTCCAAGCCAAGCATGCAATAGAATAACTGGATTCCAGCCACCAGAGCCTAGACCGTGAAATCTCATCTGGTCCCAAACCTGGGGTGTGAGTTATCTTCTCCAGCACAGGGTTGGAGGAGGGGATGGTGGAGGCCTTACTGTCAGCAACTCAACATGAGGGCAGAATTCAGGTCTGGCTAGTTCACCGCTATATCCCCTATTAGGTACTCACTAAACATTACAGAAAACCCAACCACTTTTGGGGGCAGATGACATACTCCCCAGGCCCCAATATGGACATAGTGATGCTGGTGGCAGGTGGCAATTTCTGACACTCATGAGGTCAGGAGGGGCCAGCCTCCAGATCCAAAAAATGGGCTCCCTCCCAAACAGGAAGCCAGCTGCCACCTGCTGTCCACATCAGAGCAGCTGTTAGGTGGTGAGGTCTCATGGAGAACCTGGCACCTTGCTAAGCACTATATATTCATTATTCTATTTAGTTCTCACTATTACCACTGTGTACTGTCATTATCCCCATTTTACAGATGATAAAGTGAACCTTGGAAAAGGAGTGGAATCAGTTTGGTCCAAAAGTCCAAGCCCTTGACCATATAACTGGGCTGCCCAGCTACTATAGACTTGGCACAGCTGCCTACCACCGGGGACAGAAATCTCCAAATCAAGAATCTAACAACCCTGGATATGCAGCAAGACTCCCAGGGGTCCCTCGGCTTTCTGGGGTTTTCCCTCCTCTCCCCCACTCGCCCCAGAAAAGAACTAGTCCCCAGGTTTCCGCCTGCCCTGGGCCTCCGAGGCCAGCTCACCTGGAAAACCCCAGGTGAAGGGGGAGTTGGGGGAGGGTCCGACAAAAACCCAGCTGTTTCCAACCTAAAGTCCCACAGGGCTCTAAGAGTTAGGGGGTGCCAAGGGCGCGGATAGAAACCTCCCTGACGTGGGCACTGATTCCCCAGAGCATGTGGGTTCAAATCCACCTGAGGAACTAGTGTGACCTTTAAAGCAATTAGCTTCACCTCCTGCAGAGTTGGCTTTGCTCAGTGGTGGGCTGCAGGGAGAGACCACAGTAAGAGCGGTGCCCTCCAAATACCTGTGGCTGAGCTGCAGGTGGCTCTCACCTGCCAGCCCTTACCTTCTGGAGTTAGAGAAAGAAAGTCAGCGCGGAGCATGGAGCTCCCCAGGTTCAATCCCCTCCTTTTCCTGCAACCCGAGGGCGCAGTTTCGGGTGGAAGGATTCAGGTGAGGGCCACACAGCTGGTGCATGGGAGTCAGAGAACCTGGGCTCAGAACTTGGAACCTTATGCTCCTTATCACTCACAACTGCCTCCCTGGCCCTGCCCGTCACTCGTTCGAGAAAGCTGCCCAAGCAGGTTCGGGAAGTAGGGGCGAAACTAACTTTGCTACGGGCTGTCCGGCCGGCCTCCCGCCAGCCCCTTCTCACCTGCTGAATCTGCTTTCTGTTCGGCGCTGCACGCCCGGTACCGCCTGCTCGCGCTCGGCTCAGCCGACGGCACAGCGCTGGGCTCAGTCGCTCGGCCGCCGAGCTCCAGCAGCTGCAGAACGCAGTGGCCGAGGCCTGGCCCCGCCCCCTGGAGCTCCTGGAGCCCCGCCCCCTGGTGCCCGCCCCGGACACGCCCCCTCGACGGCCCCGCCCCCGGTCCGCAGGAATGCGCCGGCCTCCGTCCACTGCGCGGGGCCGCCCGCCCGGGGCCAGCTGGAGGGGGCCTCGCCCTGGCTCCGCCCCTCACGACGCCCTGATCACTCCCGGGCAGCCCCGCCCCCAGGCCACGGAGGGCCCGGCCCCAGCGGGAGCGACCCTGCCCCCCCCACTCCCCCCCCCCCGTCCAGCCGGGGGGCCCTGCTAGGTGGGAGCCCCCACTCTCAGCCCCCCCTAACTGCCCCGCTCCTTCTCCGGCCCCCAAGTCCATCCCAGGCCCGCCCATCGCCCCCACGGCCGTCCCTTCCCGGCCCGACTACCACCCCCCCCCCCCGCCCCCACACGCCCCCTCCCCGCCCCAGCACCGCCCCAGCCCTGGCCCGCTCCGCCCCCAGGCCCGGACCGCCCGGCCTCGGCCCCCACGCGGGCGCCCCCCGGGAGTGTCGCGTGCTGCCAGAACGGCTCGCCCTCCCCGTCGGGCCTCTATCGCCGGGCGGCCTACGGGCGAGCCCTTTTGAAAATACTAGCAGTTACACTGGTTGCGCCCTCTCCAAGGGACGGGCTCTGTGCCAAGCGCTGTAAAAGTCCTGGCCTGTGCGTTCTCACGGCGGTCAACTGGTGGTGCACACACTGCGCCCGCTGCACAGACCAACAGCTTAGAGAAGGGAAGTGGCGGCCTCTGAGTTTCACAACGGAGCTGAGCAGGGTCCAGCCTCGGGCTGAATCACAAGCTTGATGCTGCCGCAGCTTGCCTGGACTGGCCCCCCAGAAGTGGCCCCAGCCAGGCCTCTGTTGGGGCAGCCCCACACCGGCTGCGGGGTGCCAGAGGAGGCATGGGTTGATGAGGCAGGGGGCCGGGAGGGGCTGCAGCCCAAGCCCTCAGAAACTGGCTTTCTCCCTTAAGAAAAGTTGCAAATTAGAGCTGGGTGGCAAAAAATAAAACCCAGATTCCTGCCTGCACCCACCCCTGGGACTCCCAGAGACCAGAGACCAGCCTCTGTAGGATTACTGGGTCACAACCAGGGCCATTCACCTGTGCAGCTGACAAAGCTCTTTTGCTCCCATTATCTCATTGGCCTCTCACAAGGACGCTTTGTGGGAGGGAGGCGTTTTTGGCAAGGGTGGAGTAGGCTGAGTGCTGGATCCCAGCCCATTCCAAAGCACAGTGCTTGGACTGGCAATGGCAGCAGTATCTGGGAACCTGTTAGGAATGTGTGTTTGGGGATCTTATCCCAGACCTACTGAATACAAAACTCCTTGGTGAGGAGCCTAGCAATTTATTTTAACAAGGCCTCCAGGCAATTCTGAATCACACATAAGTTTGAGAAACACTTTTTAGCAGAATGATGATGATAGTGTGGCCTGAGCATCTCCAGATCAAGGTGGCCTCCTGGGAGTCCTGTGGCCCAAGACGAGGTACTTGATCCCAGGGATGAGCCCTTCAAGCGGGAGTGAAAATAACAGCAACGGCACCAACCTTGAAGGTGGCCGTTTAGGATTCAAGGTGACCATGCTCATGAAGTGTGTAACAGCATGCTCTTGGACACTATTCATGCTCCATAAATGTTCTTCCAATAAAACATCTGCTTCATAGAACCTCTACACCAAGTCAAGAGTGGGCTGGAGAATCTTATAAGCCCTACGGTGTCCCAATGCTGTCCTCCCACAGAAAGACACCATCTTTCATGCCAGGGACCGAGAACTTAAGCTCCCAATGATGTCCAAGCAGCTGGTCCAGGGACTGCACTTTGAGGTGCTCTTCTGTCTTAGGCTGGGTTCCCAGGCAACCCTTGCAAATAGGCATAAAGTACCCTTCTCTTCTACCCTGCTCCAAGTCCCCTTCCCTCAGGTTGGGTGTGTTTGTGATGGAGATTGGCACTTGGCAAAACAGCTGGATCCCATCAGCCCTCCTTCTTCTCCCCTCCCCACCCCCCAGGCAGATATCAGATCACTTTAGTCCCATCTGCTACCCCTCCTGTCTCTGTCACTCCAGATTAGAGATGGGGGCAGCTGTGGCAGTTTCTAGAATGCCTGCCATACTCCCCCAACAACCTCCCAGTGCCTTAGAATAGTTTTCCCTATCGGACCCCACAGTCCTATTCCACTGAACCACCCTAAAGCTCATAGTAAAAGTTGAGGCCTACAGACCTTATAGTTAAACATTTAACAGACTGTACCATAAAATGTTTATTCTCCTGCCTTGAGAAATATTACTTTTAATGACCAAGGCAGTTATGTTCAAATATAGAAATCTGGGACTCTTGGGAATTCTGCGCAGGAACATGGCAGTGTGAGATAGGGCAGGCCCTGACCCAGTCCTCAGCCCACCCACTCCAATTTTTCCTAGCCCCATCTCCGTGTTTTGTCACAAGAACCTAGGACACCCAGCCCGCCTGCCCAGACTCTGCACACGCCTTGCCTACCCTGCACTCTGTCGCCCCTCCAGAGGCCGAGGGACCTGAGGAAGCTGTTTGTGTCAGCTCAAAAGCTGCACTTGGGCCATGTAGGCAGAGATTTCCAGGTTTTTAGATTCTTGAAACATGACCAGGGAGGGGGTGGGGTGCATGTTGTGGTGGACACACGTGGTCCTCTTGGCCAGGTCTATGGCACTGCCATTTGGCCTTGTCTCCTAACACCTGGCACAATGCCTGTCCCCCACTGGAAGATAAGTGCCAGCCATCAAACAAAAGGGTGACTGAGTTCTTTCCTGAAATACTGAATATGGTCGGTTTCCCCAGTGTCACTCCCCCCAGCAGGAATCAGGCTTGGCCATGGCTTGCCTTTTGTTTCACCTGGCAAAGCTGCCTCTACTGAGAGATCACTTCCAACTTCTGTGAAATTCTTCCATGCATTCTAGAAGTAAAGTCAGAGTTCTAAAGGTGGGGAAAGGGACCAGAAGAATCCCCTAGAAAGCCTTGAGAGAAGATATCAAACGACCAACCTTGAAGTAGGGGAGATGGTGGCATGGCAAGACCTCAAAAGGGCATGGTTATGGGGGTTCACAGAAGACTCCCCCACTTCACAGGGGCCACAGGTGCTGCACAGCGGAAGGTCCAAAGAGCCTGTGGCAAGAACACCTGGGCATGAGGGTCTTGTTGGTGTCTGGGCCTAGGGAAGACCCTAAGACTTGCAAGTTTGGGTGAGGGGAGGGGAGTGGGGCATCTGTTTCCTGTTACTATGTAGCAACCCACCCAACCATTTCTTTATCTTAAATCTGCTATTTGGGGGGCTCCCCTGGTGGTACAAGGGGCTAAGCATCAGCACTACAAAGCTATCCACAACTACTGCAGCACCAGTTTGATCACCAGCCAGGGAGGTACCCACATGGCGTGGCAGACCTCTCCTGTCTCACCAGCTGCTCCCCTCGGCAATGTATTTCAGTGGATCCACCTGTTCTGCTCCCCACTCTGTCTCTGGTGAATCCTCTTACCCCCCACACTTCCGGCCCGTACCCCACCTCTTGTATGCATAAATAAATCTTTAAAAAACCCTGTGATTTGGGGTGGGTGCAGTGGGAAAGGCTTACTTCTGTTCTGTGCAATGTCAGCTGGCACTGGAAGCTGAGGTTCATTTTCAAGTGCTGCACTTACCTGGATGTCAAGTTGGAGCTGTCAGCTAGGCGGTCAGCTAGAGCTGAGTGGGAGGCCTGGCTTCCTCCTCACGCGACCTCTCCACAGGCTGCTTGGGCTCTCTTGAACAAGATGGAAGCTCATGGCACTTGATGACCTTACCTTGGAAGTTACCCAGCAACATCGAGATACCAAGATCCACCCTGTTCAAGAGGCAGGACTTAGTCTCCCTCTCTTGATGATGCAGAGTTCTAGAAGAGCTTACAGCACCCAAGACCGCTTTTGCAGTTATTCTTGTTTCCTGAAGACAGCCTGGAAAATACAGTCTGCCCCTACTGAGTGCTCAGAATGACTGTGGTGGAAATTCCTTGGTGGGAACTGAGAGTCTCAATGAAGCTGCTGTCAAGAGAAAAATGCTGTTTCTTAATAACAATCCTTTGTGCAGGACTGAATCAGAACTCGGGCTATAGGCAATATCCTTGAGTGCTGGGGTTATTGAGGCTCTTCCTTCTTCAGAGAATTCTCAGAATAGAATTCACACCTCCTTCTTCTCTACCTGTTCTGTTTCCCTAAAGCTTTAAGCATAATGGCACTCACTTCCTGATAACATCATAGCATGAAGTAAGTGCTATGGTGGTGCCCATTTCCAGGCCCAGGCAATGGAGGCACGACGAGGTAAGAGCGTGTCCATGGTCACACTACTGGTAAGTGATGGAGGAAAGAGAAATTGCTGTTTATAGCCAACCTAATTTTTGGTTACTGAAACCAAGCCTAGGAGAAAGGGGTTCAAATGGGACGGGATGCGGGGGCCCCAAATTCTGAGCACCCAACACTGAGCCATGTGGTCTATCTCTAAGCCTCACCGGGGATCAAAGAGTTTCCTTCCAGGGCCTTGAAGGAAGGGCCTTTGCTTCCTGGTTGAATAACAAAAAGATACCGGTGGGCCTCCCAGGTGGCACAGCGGTTGCTGGGCTATGAAGCTGCCCGCAGCCTTTGCAGCTCCGGTTTGATCCCCAGCAGCCGGCGAGGGTCCCACATGGCGGCACAGACCTCTCCTGCCGCCCGCTGCTCCCCT